CAGCTGTGCCGAAATGACAGCTCCAGTTCGTGTACTACACGTTGTTCACTTGTTGCCCATGTCTGGTTGCATGTCTGGTTGCATGTCTATGCTTGTATCCAACACCGCAAGAAGATGGGAAGCGCAACTGCTGCTGGGTCTTGATGCGGTGCTTAGGTCATGCAATAACACCATTCAATTGAGTCATCAGCTGTGCCGAAATGACAGCTCCAGTTCGTGTACTACACGTTGTTCACTTGTTGCCCATGTCTGGTTGCATGTCTGGTTGCATGTCTATGCTTGTATCCAACACCGCACGAAGATGGGAAGCGCAACTGCTGCTGGGTCTTGATGCGGTGCTTAGGTCATGCAATAACACCATTCAATTGAGTCATCAGCTGTGCCGAAATGACAGCTCCAGTTCGTGTACTACACGTTGTTCACTTGTTGCCCATGTCTGGTTGCATGTCTGGTTGCTTGTCTGGTTGCATGTCTATGCTTGTATCCAACACCGCACGAAGATGGGAAGCGCAACTGCTGCTGGGTCTTGATGCGGTGCTTAGGTCATGCAATAACACCATTCAATTGAGTCATCAGCTGCGCCGAAATGACAGCTCCAGTTCGTGTACTACACGTTGTTCACTCGTTGCCCATGTCTGGTTGCATGTCTGGTTGCATGTCTATGCTTGTATCCAACACCGCACGAAGATGGGAAGCGCAACTGCTGCTGGGTCTTGATGCGGTGCTTAGGTCATGCAATAACACCTCTTAATCAGTCGTAATCATCAGCTGCGCCGTAATGACAGCTCCAATTCGTGTACTACACGTTGTTCACTCGTTGCCCATGTCTGGTTGCATGTCTGGTTGCATGTCTATGCTTGTATCCAACACCGCACGAAGATGGGAAGCGCAACTGCTGCTGGGTCTTGATGCGGTGCTTAGGTCATGCAATAACACCTCTTAATCAGTCGTAATCATCAGCTGCGCCGTAATGACAGCTCCAATTCGTGTACTACACGTTGTTCACTCGTTGCCCATGTCTGGTTGCATGTCTGGTTGCATGTCTATGCTTGTATCCAACACCGCACGAAGATGGGAAGCGCAACTGCTGCTGGGTCTTGATGCGGTGCTTAGGTCATGCAATAACACCTCTTAATCAGTCGTAATCATCAGCTGCGCCGTAATGACAGCTCCAATTCGTGTACTACACGTTGTTCACTCGTTGCCCATGTCTGGTTGCATGTCTGGTTGCATGCTCGTGCTTGCATCCAACACCGCACGAAGATGGGAAGCGCAACTGCTGCTGGGTCTTGATGCGGTGCTTAGGTCATGCAATAACACCTCTTAATCAGTCGTAATCATCAGCTGCGCCGTAATGACAGCTCCAATTCGTGTCCTACACGTTGTTCACTCGTTGCCCATGTCTGGTTGCATGTCTGTGCTTGCATCCAACACCGCACGAAGATGGGAAGCGCAACTGCTGCTGGGTCTTGATGCGGTGCTTAGGTCATGCAATAACACCATTCAATTGAGTCATCAGCTGTGCCGAAATGACAGCTCCAGTTCGTGTACTACACGTTGTTCACTCGTTGCCCATGTCTGGTTGCATGTCTGGTTGCTTGTCTGGTTGCATGTCTATGCTTGCATCCAACACCGCACGAAGATGGGAAGCGCAACTGCTGCTGGGTCTTGATGCGGTGCTTAGGTCATGCAATAACACCATTCAATTGAGTCATCAGCTGCGCCGAAATGACAGCTCCAGTTCGTGTACTACACGTTGTTCACTCGTTGCCCATGTCTGGTTGCATGTCTGGTTGCATGTCTGTGCTTGCATCCAACACCGCACGAAGATGGGAAGCGCAACTGCTGCTGGGTCTTGATGCGGTGCTTAGGTCATGCAATAACACCATTCAATTGAGTCATCAGCTGTGCCGAAATGACAGCTCCAGTTCGTGTCCCGCACGTTGTTCACTCGTTGCCCATGTCTGGTTGCATGTCTGGTTGCATGTCTGTGCTTGCATCCAACACCGCACGAAGATGGGAAGCGCAACTGCTGCTGGGTCTTGATGCGGTGCTTAGGTCATGCAATAACACCATTCAATTGAGTCGTAATCATCAGCTGCGCCGTAATGACAGCTCCAATTCGTGTACTACACGTTGTTCACTCGTTGCCCATGTCTGGTTGCATGTCTGGTTGCATGTCTATGTCTTGCATCCAACACCGCACGAAGATGGGAAGCGCAACTGCTGCTGGGTCTTGATGCGGTGCTTAGGTCATGCAATAACACCTCTTAATCAGTCGTAATCATCAGCTGCGCCTAAATGACAGCTCCAGTTCGTGTACTACACGTTGTTCACTCGTTGCCCATGTCTGGTTGCATGTCTGGTTGCATGTCTGTGCTTGCATCCAACACCGCACGAAGATGGGAAGCGCAACTGCTGCTGGCTCTTGATGCGGTGCTTAGGTCATGCAATAACACCATTCAATTGAGTCATCAGCTGTGCCGAAATGACAGCTCCAGTTCGTGTACTACACGTTGTTCACTCGTTGCCCATGTCTGGTTGCATGTCTGGTTGCATGTCTATGCTTGCATCCAACACCGCACGAAGATGGGAAGCGCAACTGCTGCTGGGTCTTGATGCGGTGCTTAGGTCATGCAATAACACCATTCAATTGAGTCGGAAGCATCAGCTGTGCCGAAATAACAGCTCCAGTTCGTGTCCCGAACGTTGTTCACTCGTTGCCCATGTCTGGTTGCATGTCTGGTTGCATGTCTGTGCTTGCATCCAACACCGCACGAAGATGGGAAGCGCAACTGCTGCTGGGTCTTGATGCGGTGCTTAGGTCATGCAATAACACCATTCAATTGAGTCATCAGCTGTGCCGAAATGACAGCTCCAGTTCGTGTCCCGCACGTTGTTCACTCGTTGCCCATGTCTGGTTGCATGTCTGGTTGCATGTCTGTGCTTGCATCCAACACCGCACGAAGATGGGAAGCGCAACTGCTGCTGGGTCTTGATGCGGTGCTTAGGTCATGCAATAACACCATTCAATTGAGTCATCAGCTGTGCCGAAATGACAGCTCCAGTTCGTGTACCACACGTTGTTCGCTCGTTGCCCATGTCTGGTTGCATGTCTGGTTGCATGTCTGTGCTTGCATCCAACACCGCACGAAGATGGGAAGCGCAACTGCTGCTGGGTCTTGATGCGGTGCTTAGGTCATGCAATAACACCATTCAATTGAGTCATCAGCTGTGCCGAAATGACAGCTCCAGTTCGTGTCCCGCACGTTGTTCACTCGTTGCCCATGTCTGGTTGCATGTCTGGTTGCATGTCTGTGCTTGCATCCAACACCGCACGAAGATGGGAAGCGCAACTGCTGCTGGGTCTTGATGCGGTGCTTAGGTCATGCAATAACACCATTCAATTGAGTCGTAGGCATTAGCTGTGCCGAAATGACAGCTCCAGTTCGTGTCCCGCACGTTGTTCACTCGTTGCCCATGTCTGGTTGCATGTCTGTGCTTGCATCCAACACCGCACGAAGATGGGAAGCGCAACTGCTGCTGGGTCTGGATGCGGTGCTTAGGTCATGCAATAACACCATTCAATTGAGTCATCAGCTGTGCCGAAATGACAGCTCCAGTTCGTGTACCGCACGTTGTTCACTCGTTGCCCATGTCTGGTTGCATGTCTGGTTGCATGTCTGTGCTTGCATCCAACACCGCACGAAGATGGGAAGCGCAACTGCTGCTGGGTCTTGATGCGGTGCTTAGGTCATGCAATAACACCATTCAATTGAGTCATCAGCTGTGCCGAAATGACAGCTCCAGTTCGTGTCCCGCACGTTGTTCACTCGTTGCCCATGTCTGGTTGCATGTCTGGTTGCATGTCTGTGCTTGCATCCAACACCGCACGAAGATGGGAAGCGCAACTGCTGCTGGGTCTTGATGCGGTGCTTAGGTCATGCAATAACACCATTCAATTGAGTCACCAACCGTGCCGAAATGACAGCTTCAGTTCGTGTACTACACGTTGTTCACTCGTTGCCCATGTCTGGTTGCATGTCTGGTTGCATGTCTATGCTTGCATCCAACACCGCACGAAGATGGGAAGCGCAACTGCTGCTGGGTCTTAATGCGGTGCTTAGGTCATGCAATAACACCATTCAATTGAGTCGGAAGCATCAGCTGTGCCGAAATAACAGCTCCAGTTCGTGTCCCGCACGTTGTTCACTCGTTGCCCATGTCTGGTTGCATGTCTGGTTGCATGTCTGTGCTTGCATCCAACACCGCACGAAGATGGGAAGCGCAACTGCTGCTGGGTCTTGATGCGGTGCTTAGGTCATGCAATAACACCATTCAATTGAGTCATCAGCTGTGCCGAAATGACAGCTCCAGTTCGTGTCCCGCACGTTGTTCACTCGTTGCCCATGTCTGGTTGCATGTCTGGTTGCATGTCTGTGCTTGCATCCAACACCGCACGAAGATGGGAAGCGCAACTGCTGCTGGGTCTTGATGCGGTGCTTAGGTCATGCAATAACACCATTCAATTGAGTCGTAGGCATTAGCTGTGCCGAAATGACAGCTCCAGTTCGTGTCCCGCACGTTGTTCACTCGTTGCCCATGTCTGGTTGCATGTCTGGTTGCTTGCATCCAACACCGCACGAAGATGGGAAGCGCAACTGCTGCTGGGTCTGGATGCGGTGCTTAGGTCATGCAATAACACCATTCAATTGAGTCATCAGCTGTGCCGAAATGACAGCTCCAGTTCGTGTACCGCACGTTGTTCACTCGTTGCCCATGTCTGGTTGCATGTCTGGTTGCATGTCTGTGCTTGCATCCAACACCGCACGAAGATGGGAAGCGCAACTGCTGCTGGGTCTTGATGCGGTGCTTAGGTCATGCACAAAACACCTCACAAATGAGTCAGAATCATCAGCTGCACCGAAGTGATAGCTCCAAGTCGTGTACTACACTTTGTTCACTCGTTACTCATGTCTGGTTGCATGTCTGGTTGCATGTTTGTGCTTGCATCCAACACCGCACGAAGATGGGAAGCGCAACTGCTGCTGGGTCTTGAAGCGGTGCTTAGGTCATGCAATAACACCATCCAATTGAGTCATCAGCTGTGCCGAAATGACAGCTCCAGTTCGTGTCCCGCACGTTGTTCACTCGTTGCCCATGTCTGGTTGCATGTCTGGTTGCATGTCTGTGCTTGCATCCAACACCGCACGAAGATGGGAAGCGCAACTGCTGCTGGGTCTTGATGCGGTGCTTAGGTCATGCAATAACACCATTCAAATGAGTCATCAGCTGTGCCGAAATGACAGCTCCAGTTCGTGTACCGCACGTTGTTCACTCGTTGCCCATGTCTGGTTGCATGTCTGGTTGCATGTCTGTGCTTGCATCCAACACCGCACGAAGATGGGAAGCGCAACTGCTGCTGGGTCTTGATGCGGTGCTTAGGTCATGCAATAACACCATTCAATTGAGTCGTCATCAGCTGTGCCGAAATGACAGCTCCAGTTCGTGTCCCGCACGTTGTTCACTCGTTGCCCATGTCTGGTTGCATGTCTGGTTGCATGTCTGTGCTTGCATTCAACACCGCACGAAGATGGGAAGCGCAACTGCTGCTGGCTCTTGATGCAGTGCTTAGGTCATGCAATAACATCATTCAACTGAGTCATCAGCTGTGCCGAAATGACAGCTCCAGTTCGTGTCCCGCACGTTGTTCACTCGTTGCCCATGTCTAGTTGCATGTCTGGTTGCATGTCTGTGCTTGCATCCAAACCGCACGAAGATGGGAAGCGCAACTGCTGCTGGCTCTTGATGCGGTGCTTAGGTCATGCAATAATACCTCTTGATCAGTCTTAATCATCAGCTGCGCCGTAATGACAGCTCCAGTTCGTGTACTACACGTTGTTCACTTGTTGCCCATGTCTGGTTGCATGTCTGGTTGCATGTCTGTGCTTGCATCCAACACCGCACGAAGATGGGAAGCGCAACTGCTGCTGGGTCTTGATGCGGTGCTTAGGTCATGCAATAACACCATTCAATTGAGTCGTAGGCATTAGCTGTGCCGAAATGACAGCTCCAGTTCGTGTACCGCACGTTGTTCACTCGTTGCCCATGTCTGGTTGCATGTCCGGTTGCATGTCTGTGCTTGCATCCAACACCGCACGAAGATGGGAAGCGCAACTGCTGCTGGCTCTTGATGCGGTGCTGAGGTCATGCAATAACACCATTCAATTGAGTCATCAGCTGTGCCGAAATGACAGCTCCAGTTCGTGTACCGCACGTTGTTCACTCGTTGCCCATGTCTGGTTGCATGTCCGGTTGCATGTCTGTGCTTGCATCCAACACCGCACGAAGATGGGAAGCGCAACTGCTGCTGGCTCTTGATGCGGTGCTTAGGTCATGCAATAACACCATTCAATTGAGTCATCAGCTGTGCCGAAATGACAGCTCCAGTTCGTGTACTACACGTTGTTCACTCGTTGCCCATGTCTGGTTGCATGTCTGGTTGCATGTCTGTGCTTGCATCCAACACCGCACGAAGATGGGAAGCGCAACTGCTGCTGGGTCTTGATGCGGTGCTTAGGTCATGCAATAACACCATTCAATTGAGTCATCAGCTGTGCCGAAATGACAGCTCCAGTTCGTGTCCCGCACGTTGTTCACTCGTTGCCCATGTCTGGTTGCATTTCTGGTTGCATGTCTGTGCTTGCATCCAACACCGCACGAAGATGGGAAGCGCAACTGCTGCTGGGTCTTGATGCGGTGCTTAGGTCATGCAATAACACCATTCAATTGAGTCATCAGCTGTGCCGAAATGACAGCTCCAGTTCGTGTCCCGCACGTTGTTCACTCGTTGCCCATGTCTGGTTGCATGTCTGTGCTTGCATCCAACACCGCACGAAGATGGGAAGCGCAACTGCTGCTGGGTCTTGATGCGGTGCTTAGGTCATGCAATAACACCATTCAATTGAGTCATCAGCTGTGCCGTAATGACAGCTCCAATTCGTGTCCCGCACGTTGTTCACTCGTTGCCCATGTCTGGTTGCATGTCTGTGCTTGCATCCAACACCGCACGAAGATGGGAAGCGCAACTGCTGCTGGGTCTTGATGCGGTGCTTAGGTCATGCAATAACACCATTCAATTGAGTCATCAGCTGTGCCGAAATGACAGCTCCAGTTCGTGTCCCGCACGTTGTTCACTCGTTGCCCATGTCTGGTTGCATGTCTGTGCTTGCATCCAACACCGCACGAAGATGGGAAGCGCAACAGCTGCTGGGTCTTGATGCGGTGCTTAGGTCATGCAATAACACGATTCAATTGAGTCATCAGCTGTGCCGAAATGACAGCTCCAGTTCGTGTTCCGCACGTTGTTCACTCGTTGCCCATGTCTGGTTGCATGTCTGGTTGCATGTCTGTGCTTGCATCCAACACCGCACGAAGATGGGAAGCGCAACTGCTGCTGGGTCTTGATGCGGTGCTGAGGTCATGCAATAACACCATTCAATTGAGTCATCAGCTGTGCCGAAATGACAGCTCCAGTTCGTGTACCGCACGTTGTTCACTCGTTGCCCATGTCTGGTTGCATGTCTGGTTGCATGTCTGTGCTTGCATCCAACACCGCACGAAGATGGGAAGCGCAACTGCTGCTGGGTCTTGATGCGGTGCTTAGGTCATGCAATAACACCATTCAATTGAGTCATCAGCTGTGCCGAAATGACAGCTCCAGTTCGTGTACTACACGTTGTTCACTCGTTGCCCATGTCTGGTTGCATGTCTGGTTGCATGTCTGTGCTTGCATCCAACACCGCACGAAGATGGGAAGCGCAACTGCTGCTGGGTCTTGATGCGGTGCTTAGGTCATGCAATAACACCATTCAATTGAGTCATCAGCTGTGCCGAAATGACAGCTCCAGTTCGTGTCCCGCACGTTGTTCACTCGTTGCCCATGTCTGGTTGCATGTCTGGTTGCATGTCTGTGCTTGCATCCAACACCGCACGAAGATGGGAAGCGCAACTGCTGCTGGGTCTTGATGCGGTGCTTAGATCATGCAATAACACCATTCAATTGATTCATCAGCTGTGCCGAAATGACAGCTCCAGTTCGTGTCCCGCACGTTGTTCACTCGTTGCCCATGTCTGGTTGCATGTCTGGTTGCATGTCTGTGCTTGCATTCAACACCGCACGAAGATGGGAAGCGCAACTGCTGCTGGGTCTTGATGCGGTGCTTAGGTCATGCAATAACACCATTCAATTGAGTCGTAGGCATTAGCTGTGCCGAAATGACAGCTCCAGTTCGTGTCCCGCACGTTGTTCACTCGTTGCCCATGTCTGGTTGCATGTCTGGTTGCATGTCTGTGCTTGCATCCAACACCGCACGAAGATGGGAAGCGCAACTGCTGCTGGGTCTTAATGCGGTGCTTAGGTCATGCAATAACACCATTCAATTGAGTCATCAGCTGTGCCGAAATGACAGCTCCAGTTCGTGTCCCGCACGTTGTTCACTCGTTGCCCATGTCTGGTTGCATGTCTGGCTGCATGTCTGTGCTTGCATCCAACACCGCACGAAGATGGGAAGCGCAACTGCTGCTGGGTCTTGATGCGGTGCTGAGGTCATGCAATAACACCATTCAATTGAGTCATCAGCTGTGCCGTAATGACAGCTCCAATTCGTGTCCCGCACGTTGTTCACTCGTTGCCCATGTCTGGTTGCATGTTTCTGTGCTTGCATCCAACACCGCACGAAGATGGGAAGCGCAACTGCTGCTGGGTCTTGATGCGGTGCTTAGGTCATGCAATAACACCATTCAATTGAGTCATCAGCTGTGCCGAAATGACAGCTCCAGTTCGTGTCCCGCACGTTGTTCACTCGTTGCCCATGTCTGGTTGCATGTCTGTGCTTGCATCCAACACCGCACGAAGATGGGAAGCGCAACAGCTGCTGGGTCTTGATGCGGTGCTGAGGTCATGCAATAACACCATTCAATTGAGTCATCAGCTGTGCCGAAATGACAGCTCCAGTTCGTGTACTACACGTTGTTCACTCGTTGTCCATGTCTGGTTGCATGTCTGGTTGCATGTCTGTGCTTGCATCCAACACCGCACGAAGATGGGAAGCGCAACAGCTGCTGGGTCTTGATGCGGTGCTTAGGTCATGCAATAACACCATTCAATTGAGTCATCAGCTGTGCCGAAATGACAGCTCCAGTTCGTGTCCCGCACGTTGTTCACTCGTTGCCCATGTCTGGTTGCATTTCTGGTTGCATGTCTGTGCTTGCATCCAACACCGCACGAAGATGGGAAGCGCAACTGCTGCTGGGTCTTGATGCGGTGCTTAGGTCATGCAATAACACCATTCAATTGAGTCATCAGCTGTGCCGAAATGACAGCTCCAGTTCGTGTCCCGCACGTTGTTCACTCGTTGCCCATGTCTGGTTGCATGTCTGTGCTTGCATCCAACACCGCACGAAGATGGGAAGCGCAACTGCTGCTGGGTCTTGATGCGGTGCTTAGGTCATGCAATAACACCATTCAATTGAGTCATCAGCTGTGCCGTAATGACAGCTCCAATTCGTGTCCCGCACGTTGTTCACTCGTTGCCCATGTCTGGTTGCATGTCTGTGCTTGCATCCAACACCGCACGAAGATGGGAAGCGCAACTGCTGCTGGGTCTTGATGCGGTGCTTAGGTCATGCAATAACACCATTCAATTGAGTCATCAGCTGTGCCGAAATGACAGCTCCAGTTCGTGTCCCGCACGTTGTTCACTCGTTGCCCATGTCTGGTTGCATGTCTGTGCTTGCATCCAACACCGCACGAAGATGGGAAGCGCAACAGCTGCTGGGTCTTGATGCGGTGCTTAGGTCATGCAATAACACGATTCAATTGAGTCATCAGCTGTGCCGAAATGACAGCTCCAGTTCGTGTTCCGCACGTTGTTCACTCGTTGCCCATGTCTGGTTGCATGTCTGGTTGCATGTCTGTGCTTGCATCCAACACCGCACGAAGATGGGAAGCGCAACTGCTGCTGGGTCTTGATGCGGTGCTGAGGTCATGCAATAACACCATTCAATTGAGTCATCAGCTGTGCCGAAATGACAGCTCCAGTTCGTGTACCGCACGTTGTTCACTCGTTGCCCATGTCTGGTTGCATGTCTGGTTGCATGTCTGTGCTTGCATCCAACACCGCACGAAGATGGGAAGCGCAACTGTTGCTGGCTCTTGATGCGGTGCTTAGGTCATGCAATAACACCATTCAATTGAGTCATCAGCTGTGCCGAAATGACAGCTCCAGTTCGTGTACTACACGTTGTTCACTCGTTGCCCATGTCTGGTTGCATGTCTGGTTGCATGTCTGTGCTTGCATCCAACACTGCACGAAGATGGGAAGCGCAACTGCTGCTGGGTCTTGATGCGGTGCTTAGGTCATGCAATAACACCATTCAATTGAGTCATCAGCTGTGCCGAAATGACAGCTCCAGTTCGTGTCCCGCACGTTGTTCACTCGTTGCCCATGTCTGGTTGCATGTCTGGTTGCATGTCTGTGCTTGCATCCAACACCGCACGAAGATGGGAAGCGCAACTGCTGCTGGGTCTTGATGCGGTGCTTAGATCATGCAATAACACCATTCAATTGATTCATCAGCTGTGCCGAAATGACAGCTCCAGTTCGTGTCCCGCACGTTGTTCACTCGTTGCCCATGTCTGGTTGCATGTCTGGTTGCATGTCTGTGCTTGCATTCAACACCGCACGAAGATGGGAAGCGCAACTGCTGCTGGGTCTTGATGCGGTGCTTAGGTCATGCAATAACACCATTCAATTGAGTCGTAGGCATTAGCTGTGCCGAAATGACAGCTCCAGTTCGTGTCCCGCACGTTGTTCACTCGTTGCCCATGTCTGGTTGCATGTCTGGTTGCATGTCTGTGCTTGCATCCAACACCGCACGAAGATGGGAAGCGCAACTGCTGCTGGGTCTTAATGCGGTGCTTAGGTCATGCAATAACACCATTCAATTGAGTCATCAGCTGTGCCGAAATGACAGCTCCAGTTCGTGTCCCGCACGTTGTTCACTCGTTGCCCATGTCTGGTTGCATGTCTGGCTGCATGTCTGTGCTTGCATCCAACACCGCACGAAGATGGGAAGCGCAACTGCTGCTGGGTCTTGATGCGGTGCTGAGGTCATGCAATAACACCATTCAATTGAGTCATCAGCTGTGCCGTAATGACAGCTCCAATTCGTGTCCCGCACGTTGTTCACTCGTTGCCCATGTCTGGTTGCATGTCTGTGCTTGCATCCAACACCGCACGAAGATGGGAAGCGCAACTGCTGCTGGGTCTTGATGCGGTGCTTAGGTCATGCAATAACACCATTCAATTGAGTCATCAGCTGTGCCGAAATGACAGCTCCAGTTCGTGTCCCGCACGTTGTTCACTCGTTGCCCATGTCTGGTTGCATGTCTGTGCTTGCATCCAACACCGCACGAAGATGGGAAGCGCAACTGCTGCTGGCTCTTGATGCGGTGCTTAGGTCATGCAATAACACCATTCAATTGATTCATCAGCTGTGCCGAAATGACAGCTCCAGTTCGTGTCCCGCACGTTGTTCACTCGTTGCCCATGTCTGGTTGCATGTCTGGTTGCATGTCTGTGCTTGCATCCAACACCGCACGAAGATGGGAAGCGCAATTGCTGCTGGGTCTTGATGCGGTGCTTAGGTCATGCAATAACACCATTCAATTGAGTCGTAGGCATTAGCTGTGCCGAAATGACAGCTCCAGTTCGTGTCCCGCACGTTGTTCACTCGTTGCCCATGTCTGGTTGCATGTCTGTGCTTGCATCCAACACCGCACGAAGATGGGAAGCGCAACTGCTGCTGGGTCTTAATGCGGTGCTTAGGTCATGCAATAACACCATTCAATTGAGTCATCAGCTGTGCCGAAATGACAGCTCCAGTTTGTGTCCCGCACGTTGTTCACTCGTTGCCCATGTCTGGTTGCATGTCTGGCTGCATGTCTGTGCTTGCATCCAACACCGCACGAAGATGGGAAGCGCAACTGCTGCTGGGTCTTGATGCGGTGCTTAGGTTATGCAATAACACCATTCAATTGAGTCATCAGCTGTGCCGTAATGACAGCTCCAATTCGTGTCCCGCACGTTGTTCACTCGTTGCCCATGTCTGGCTGCATGTCTGTGCTTGCATCCAACACCGCACGAAGATGGGAAGCGCAACTGCTGCTGGGTCTTGATGCGGTGCTTAGGTCATGCAATAACACCATTCAATTGAGTCATCAGCTGTGCCGAAATGACAGCTCCAGTTCGTGTCCCGCACGTTGTTCACTCGTTGCCCATGTCTGGTTGCATGTCTGGTTGCATGTCTGTGCTTGCATCCAACACCGCACGAAGATGGGAAGCGCAACAGCTGCTGGGTCTTGATGCGGTGCTTAGGTCATGCAATAACACCATTCAATTGAGTCATCAGCTGTGCCGAAATGACAGCTCCAGTTCGTGTACCGCACGTTCTTCACTCGTTGCCCATGTCTGGTTGCATGTCTGGTTGCATGTCTGTGCTTGCATCCAACACCGCACGAAGATGGGAAGCGCAACTGTTGCTGGCTCTTGATGCGGTGCTTAGGTCATTCGATAACACCATTCAATTGAGTCGGAATCATCAGCTGTGCCGAAATGACAGCTCCAGTTCGTGTACTACACGTTGTTCACTCGTTGCCCATGTCTGGTTGCATGTCTGGTTGCATGTCTGTGCTTGCATCCAACACCGCACGAAGATGGGAAGCGCAACTGCTGCTGGGTCTTAATGCGGTGCTTAGGTCATGCAATAACACCATTCAATTGAGTCATCAGCTGTGCCGAAATGACAGCTCCAGTTCGTGTCCCGCACGTTGTTCACTCGTTGCCCATGTCTGGTTGCATGTCTGGTTGCATGTCTGTGCTTGCATCCAACACCGCACGAAGATGGGAAGCGCAACTGCTGCTGGGTCTTGATGCGGTGCTGAGGTCATGCAATAACACCATTCAATTGAGTCATCAGCTGTGCCGTAAAGACAGCTCCAATTCGTGTCCCGCACGTTGTTTACTCGTTGCCCATGTCTGGTTGCATGTCTGTGCTTGCATCCAACACCGCACGAAGATGGGAAGCGCAACTGCTGCTGGGTCTTGATGCGGTGCTTAGGTCATGCAATAACACCATTCAATTGAGTCATCAGCTGTGCCGAAATGACAGCTCCAGTTCGTGTCCCGCACGTTGTTCACTCGTTGCCCATGTCTGGTTGCATGTCTGTGCTTGCATCCAACACCGCACGAAGATGGGAAGCGCAACTGCTGCTGGCTCTTGATGCGGTGCTTAGGTCATGCAATAACACCATTCAATTGATTCATCAGCTGTGCCGAAATGACAGCTCCAGTTCGTGTCCCGCACGTTGTTCACTCGTTGCCCATGTCTGGTTGCATGTCTGGTTGCATGTCTGTGCTTGCATTCAACACCGCACGAAGATGGGAAGCGCAACTGCTGCTGGGTCTTGATGCGGTGCTTAGGTCATGCAATAACACCATTCAATTGAGTCGTAGGCATTAGCTGTGCCGAAATGACAGCTCCAGTTCGTGTCCCGCACGTTGTTCACTCGTTGCCCATGTCTGGTTGCATGTCTGTGCTTGCATCCAACACCGCACGAAGATGGGAAGCGCAACTGCTGCTGGGTCTTAATGCGGTGCTTAGGTCATGCAATAACACGATTCAATTGAGTCATCAGCTGTGCCGAAATGACAGCTCCAGTTTGTGTCCCGCACGTTGTTCACTCGTTGCCCATGTCTGGTTGCATGTCTGGCTGCATGTCTGTGCTTGCATCCAACACCGCACGAAGATGGGAAGCGCAACTGCTGCTGGGTCTTGATGCGGTGCTTAGGTTATGCAATAACACCATTCAATTGAGTCATCAGCTGTGCCGTAATGACAGCTCCAATTCGTGTCCCGCACGTTGTTCACTCGTTGCCCATGTCTGGCTGCATGTCTGTGCTTGCATCCAACACCGCACGAAGATGGGAAGCGCAACTGCTGCTGGGTCTTGATGCGGTGCTTAGGTCATGCAATAACACCATTCAATTGAGTCATCAGCTGTGCCGAAATGACAGCTCCAGTTCGTGTCCCGCACGTTGTTCACTCGTTGCCCATGTCTGGTTGCATGTCTGGTTGCATGTCTGTGCTTGCATCCAACACCGCACGAAGATGGGAAGCGCAACTGCTGCTGGGTCTTGATGCGGTGCTTAGGTCATGCAATAACACCATTCAATTGAGTCATCAGCTGTGCCGAAATGACAGCTCCAGTTCGTGTCCCGCACGTTGTTCACTCGTTGCCCATGTCTGGTTGCATGTCTGGTTGCATGTCTGTGCTTGCATCCAACACCGCACGAAGATGGGAAGCGCAACAGCTGCTGGGTCTTGATGCGGTGCTTAGGTCATGCAATAACACCATTCAATTGAGTCATCAGCTGTGCCGAAATGACAGCTCCAGTTCGTGTCCCGCACGTTGTTCACTCGTTGCCCATGTCTGGTTGCATGTCTGGCTGCATGTCTGTGCTTGCATCCAACACCGCACGAAGATGGGAAGCGCAACTGCTGCTGGGTCTTGATGCGGTGCTGAGGTCATGCAATAACACCATTCAATTGAGTCGTAGGCATTAGCTGTGCCGAAATGACAGCTCCAGTTCGTGTACCGCACGTTCTTCACTCGTTGCCCATGTCTGGTTGCATGTCTGGTTGCATGTCTGTGCTTGCATCCAACACCGCACGAAGATGGGAAGCGCAACTGTTGCTGGCTCTTGATGCGGTGCTTAGGTCATTCGATAACACCATTCAATTGAGTCGGAATCATCAGCTGTGCCGAAATGACAGCTCCAGTTCGTGTACTACACGTTGTTCACTCGTTGCCCATGTCTGGTTGCATGTCTGTGCTTGCATCCAACACTGCACGAAGATGGGAAGCGCAACTGCTGCTGGGTCTTGATGCGGTGCTTAGGTCATGCAATAACACCATTCAATTGAGTCATCAGCTGTGCCGAAATGACAGCTCCAGTTCGTGTCCCGCACGTTGTTCACTCGTTGCCCATGTCTGGTTGCATGTCTGTGCTTGCATCCAACACCGCACGAAGATGGGAAGCGCAACTGCTGCTGGGTCTTGATGCGGTGCTTAGTCATGCAATAACACCATTCAATTGAGTCATCAGCTGTGCCGAAATGACAGCTCCAGTTCGTGTCCCGCACGTTGTTCACTCGTTGCCCATGTCTGGTTGCATGTCTGGTTGCATGTCTGTGCTTGCATCCAACACCGCACGAAGATGGGAAGCGCAACAGCTGCTGGGTCTTGATGCGGTGCTTAGGTCATGCAATAACACCATTCAATTGAGTCATCAGCTGTGCCGAAATGACAGCTCCAGTTCGTGTCCCGCACGTTGTTCACTCGTTGCCCATGTCTGGTTGCATGTCTGGTTGCATGTCTGTGCTTGCATCCAACACCGCACGAAGATGGGAAGCGCAACAGCTGCTGGGTCTTGATGCGGTGCTTAGGTCATGCAATAACACCATTCAATTGAGTCATCAGCTGTGCCGAAATGACAGCTCCAGTTCGTGTCCCGCACGTTGTTCACTCGTTGCCCATGTCTGGTTGCATGTCTGGTTGCATGTCTGTGCTTGCATCCAACACCGCACGAAGATGGGAAGCGCAACTGTTGCTGGCTCTTGATGCGGTGCTTAGGTCATTCGATAACACCATTCAATTGAGTCGGAATCATCAGCTGTGCCGAAATGACAGCTCCAGTTCGTGTACTACACGTTGTTCACTCGTTGCCCATGTCTGGTTGCATGTCTGTGCTTGCATCCAACACTGCACGAAGATGGGAAGCGCAACTGCTGCTGGGTCTTGATGCGGTGCTTAGGTCATGCAATAACACCATTCAATTGAGTCATCAGCTGTGCCGAAATGACAGCTCCAGTTCGTGTCCCGCACGTTGTTCACTCGTTGCCCATGTCTGGTTGCATGTCTGGTTGCATGTCTGTGCTTGCATCCAACACCGCACGAAGATGGGAAGCGCAACTGCTGCTGGGTCTTGATGCGGCGCTTAGATCATGCAATAACACCATTCAATTGATTCATCAGCTGTGCCGAAATGACAGCTCCAGTTCGTGTCCCGCACGTTGTTCACTCGTTGCCCATGTCTGGTTGCATGTCTGGTTGCATGTCTGTGCTTGCATTCAACACCGCACGAAGATGGGAAGCGCAACTGCTGCTGGGTCTTGATGCGGTGCTTAGGTCATGCAATAACACCATTCAATTGAGTCATCAGCTGTGCCGAAATGACAGCTCCAGTTCGTGTACTACACGTTGTTCACTCGTTGCCCATGTCTGGTTGCATGTCTGGTTGCATGTCTGTGCTTGCATCCAACACCGCACGAAGATGGGAAGCGCAACTGCTGCTGGGTCTTGATGCGGTGCTTAGGTCATGCAATAACACCATTCAATTGAGTCATCAGCTGTGCCGAAATGACAGCTCCAGTTCGTGTCCCGCACGTTGTTCACTCGTTGCCCATGTCTGGTTGCATGTCTGGTTGCATGTCTGTGCTTGCATCCAACACCGCACGAAGATGGGAAGCGCAACTGCTGCTGGGTCTTGATGCGGTGCTTAGGTCATGCAATAACACCATTCAATTGAGTCATCAGCTGTGCCGAAATGACAGCTCCAGTTCGTGTCCCGCACGTTGTTCACTCGTTGCCCATGTCTGGTTGCATGTCTGGTTGCATGTCTGTGCTTGCATCCAACACCGCACGAAGATGGGAAGCGCAACTGCTGCTGGGTCTTGATGCGGTGCTTAGGTCATGCAATAACACCATTCAATTGAGTCATCAGCTGTGCCGAAATGACAGCTCCAGTTCGTGTACTACACGTTGTTCACTCGTTGTCCATGTCTGGTTGCATGTCTGGTTGCATGTCTGTGCTTGCATCCAACACCGCACGAAGATGGGAAGCGCAACTGCTGCTGGGTCTTGATGCGGTGCTTAGGTCATGCAATAACACCTCTCATATTAGTCGGAATCATCAGATGTGCCGAAATGACAGCTCCAGTTCGTGTCCCGCACGTTGTTCACTCGTTGCCCATGTCTGGTTGCATGTCTGTGCTTGCATCCAACACCGCACGAAGATGGGAAGCGCAACTGCTGCTGGGTCTTGATGCGGTGCTTAGGTCATGCAATAACACGATTCAATTGAGTCATCAGCTGTGCCGAAATGACAGCTCCAGTTCGTGTCCCGCACGTTGTTCACTCGTTGCCCATGTCTGGTTGCATGTCTGTGCTTGCATCCAACACCGCACGAAGATGGGAAGCGCAACTGCTGCTGGGTCTTGATGCGGTGCTTAGGTCATGCAATAACACCATTCAATTGAGTCATCAGCTGTGCCGAAATGACAGCTCCAGTTCGTGTCCCGCACGTTGTTCACTCGTTGCCCATGTCTGGTTGCATGTCTGGTTGCATGTCTGTGCTTGCATCCAACACCGCACGAAGATGGGAAGCGCAACTGCTGCTGGGTCTTGATGCGGTGCTTAGGTCATGCAATAACACCATTCAATTGAGTCATCAGCTGTGCCGAAATGACAGCTCCAGTTCGTGTCCCGCACGTTGTTCACTCGTTGCCCATGTCTGGTTGCATGTCTGGTTGCATGTCTGTGCTTGCATCCAACACCGCACGAAGATGGGAAGCGCAACTGCTGCTGGGTCTTGATGCGGTGCTTAGGTCATGCAATAACACCATTCAATTGAGTCATCAGCTGTGCCGAAATGACAGCTCCAGTTCGTGTCCCGCACGTTGTTCACTCGTTGCCCATGTCTGGTTGCATGTCTGGTTGCATGTCTGTGCTTGCATCCAACACCGCACGAAGATGGGAAGCGCAACTGCTGCTGGGTCTTGATGCGGTGCTTAGGTCATGCAATAACACCATTCAATTGAGTCATCAGCTGTGCCGAAATGACAGCTCCAGTTCGTGTCCTACACGTTGTTCACTTGTTGCCCATGTCTGGTTGCATGTCTGGTTGCATGTCTGTGCTTGCATCCAACACCGCACGAAGATGGGAAGCGCAACTGCTGCTGGGTCTTGATGCGGTGCTTAGGTCATGCAATAACACCATTCAATTGAGTCATCAGCTGTGCCGAAATGACAGCTCCAGTTCGTGTCCCGCACGTTGTTCACTCGTTGCCCATGTCTGGTTGCATGTCTGGTTGCATGTCTGTGCTTGCATCCAACACCGCACGAAGATGGGAAGCGCAACTGCTGCTGGGTCTTGATGCGGTGCTTAGGTCATGCAATAACACCATTCAATTGAGTCATCAGCTGTGCCGAAATGACAGCTCCAGTTCGTGTCCCGCACGTTGTTCACTCGTTGCCCATGTCTGGTTGCATGTCTGGTTGCATGTCTGTGCTTGCATCCAACACCGCACGAAGATGGGAAGCGCAACTGCTGCTGGGTCTTGATGCGGTGCTTAGGTCATGCAATAACACCATTCAATTGAGTCATCAGCTGTGCCGAAATGACAGCTCCAGTTCGTGTCCCGCACGTTGTTCACTCGTTGCCCATGTCTGGTTGCATGTCTGGTTGCATGTCTGTGCTTGCATCCAACACCGCACGAAGATGGGAAGCGCAACTGCTGCTGGGTCTTGATGCGGTGCTTAGGTCATGCAATAACACCATTCAATTGAGTCATCAGCTGTGCCGAAATGACAGCTCCAGTTCGTGTACTACACGTTGTTCACTCGTTGCCCATGTCTGGTTGCATGTCTGGTTGCATGTCTGTGCTTGCATCCAACACCGCACGAAGATGGGAAGCGCAACTGCTGCTGGCTCTTGATGCGGTGCTTAGGTCATGCAATAACACCATTCAATTGAGTCGATCATCAGCTGTGCCGAAATGACAGCTCCAGTTCGTGTAATACACGTTGTTCACTCGTTGCCCATGTCTGGTTGCATGTCTGGTTGCATGTCTGTGCTTGCATCCAACACCGCACGAAGATGGGAAGCGCAACTGCTGCTGGCTCTTGATGCGGTGCTTAGGTCATGCAATAACACCATTCAATTGAGTCATCAGCTGTGCCGAAATGACAGCTCCAGTTCGTGTCCCGCACGTTGTTCACTCGTTGCCCATGTCTGGTTGCATGTCTGGTTGCATGTCTGTGCTTGCATCCAACACCGCACGAAAATGGGAAGCGCAACTGCTGCTGGGTCTTGATGCGGTGCTTAGGTCATGCAATAACACCATTCAATTGAGTCATCAGCTGTGCCGAAATGACAGCTCCAGTTCGTGTCCCGCACGTTGTTCACTCGTTGCCCATGTCTGGTTGCATGTCTGGTTGCATGTCTGTGCTTGCATCCAACACCGCACGAAGATGGGAAGCGCAACTGTTGCTGGCTCTTGATGCGGTGCTTAGGTCATGCAATAACACCATTCAATTGAGTCATCAGCTGTGCCGAAATGACAGCTCCAGTTCGTGTACTACACGTTGTTCACTCGTTGCCCATGTCTGGTTGCATGTCTGGTTGCATGTCTGTGCTTGCATCCAACACCGCACGAAGATGGGAAGCGCAACTGCTGCTGGCTCTTGATGCGGTGCTTAGGTCATGCAATAACATCATTCAACTGAGTCACCAGATGTGCCGAAATGACAGCTCCAGTTCGTGTCCCGCACGTTGTTCACTCGTTGCCCATGTCTGGTTGCATGTCTGGTTGCATGTCTGTGCTTGCATCCAACACCGCACGAAGATGGGAAGCGCAACTGTTGCTGGCTCTTGATGCGGTGCTTAGGTCACGCAATAACACCTCTTGATGAGTCGGAATCATCAGCTGTGCCGAAATGACAGCTCCAGTTCGTGTCCTACACGTTGTTCACTTGTTGCCCATGTCTGGTTGCATGTCTGTGCTTGCATCCAACACCGCACGAAGATGGGAAGCGCAACTGCTGCTGGGTCTTGATGCGGTGCTTAGGTCATGCAATAACACCTCTCAATCAGTCGTAATCATCAGCTGTGCCGAAATGACAGCTCTAATTCGTGTACTACACGTTGTTCACTTGTTGCCCATGTCTGGTTGCATGTCTGGTTGCATGTCTGTGCTTGCATCCAACACCGCACGAAGATGGGAAGCGCAACTGCTGCTGGGTCTTGATGCGGTGCTTAGGTCATGCAATAACACCATTCAATTGAGTCGTAGGCATCAGCTGTGCCGAAATGACAGCTCCAGTTCGTGTCCCGCACGTTGTTCACTCGTTGCCCATGTCTGGTTGCATGTCTGGTTGCATGTCTGTGCTTGCATCCAACACCGCACGAAGATGGGAAGCGCAACTGCTGCTGGCTCTTGATGCGGTGCTTAGGTCATGCAATAACACCTCTTGATGAGTCGGAATCATCAGCTGTGCCGAAATGACAGCTCCAGTTCGTGTATTGCACGTTGTTCACTCGTTGCCCATGTCTGGTTGCATGTCTGGTTGCATGTCTGTGGTTGCATCCAACACCGCACGAAGATGGGAAGCGCAACTGTTGCTGGGTCTTGATGCGGTGCTTAGGTTCATGCAATAACACCATTCAATTGAGTCGGAATCATCAGCTGTGCCGAAATGACAGCTCCAGTTCGTGTATTGCACGTTGTTCACTCGTTGCCCATGTCTGGTTGCATGTCTGGTTGCATGTCTGTGCTTGCATCCAACACCGCACGAAGATGGGAAGCGCAACTGCTGCTGGCTCTTGATGCGGTGCTTAGGTCATGCAATAACACCATTCAATCGAGTCGGAATCATCAGCTGTGCCGAAATGACAGCTCCAATTCGTGTACTACACGTTGTTCACTCGTTGCCCATGTCTGGTTGCATGTCTGGTTGCATGTCTGTGCTTGCATCCAACACCGCACGTAGATGGGAAGCGCAACTGCTGCTGGGCTCTTGATGCGGTGCTTAGGTCATGCAATAACACCATTCAATTGAGTCGGAATCATCAGCTGTGCCGAAATGACAGCTCCAATTCGTGTAATACACGTTGTTCACTCGTTGCCCATGTCTGGTTGCATGTCTGGTTGCATGTCTGTGCTTGCATCCAACACCGCACGAAGATGGGAAGCGCAACTGCTGCTGGCTCTTGATGCGGTGCTTAGGTCATGCAATAACACCATTCAATTGAGTCGGAATCATCAGCTGTGCCGAAATGACAGCTCCAATTCGTGTAATACACGTTGTTCACTCGTTGCCCATGTCTGGTTGCATGTCTGGTTGCATGTCTGTGCTTGCATCCAACACCGCACGAAGATGGGAAGCGCAACTGCTGCTGGCTCTTGATGCGGTGCTTAGGTCATGCAATAACACCATTCAATTGAGTCATCAGCTGTGCCGAAATGACAGCTCCAGTTCGTGTCCCGCACGTTGTTCACTCGTTGCCCATGTCTGGTTGCATGTCTGTTTGCATGTCTGTGCTTGCATCCAACACCGCACGAAGATGGGAAGCGCAACTGCTGCTGGGTCTTGATGCGGTGCTTAGGTCATGCAATAACACCATTCAATTGAGTCATCAGCTGTGCCGAAATGACAGCTCCAATTCGTGTAATACACGTTGTTCACTCGTTGCCCATGTCTGGTTGCATGTCTGGTTGCATGTCTGTGCTTGCATCCAACACCGCACGTAGATGGGAAGCGCAACTGCTGCTGGCTCTTGATGCGGTGCTTAGGTCATGCAATAACACCATTCAATTGAGTCGGAATCATCAGCTGTGCCGAAATGACAGCTCCAGTTCGTGTAATACACGTTGTTCACTCGTTGCCCATGTCTGGTTGCATGTCTGGTTGCATGTCTGTGCTTGCATCCAACACCGCACGAAGATGGGAAGCGCAACTGCTGCTGGCTCTTGATGCGGTGCTTAGGTCATGCAATAACACCATTCAATTGAGTCATCAGCTGTGCCGAAATGACAGCTCCAGTTCGTGTCCCGCACGTTGTTCACTCGTTGCCCATGTCTGGTTGCATGTCTGTGCTTGCTCCAACACCCACAATGGGAAGCGCAACTGCTGCTGGATCTACACGTTGTTCACTCGTTCCCATGTCTGGTTGCATATCTGTTGCATGTCTGGTTGCATGTCTGTGCTTGCATCCAACACCGCACGAAGATGGGAAGCGCAACTGCTGCTGGGTCTTGATGCGGTGCTTAGGTCATGCAATAACACCATTCAATTGAGTCATCAGCTGTGCCGAAATGACAGCTCCAGTTCGTGTCCCGCACGTTGTTCACTCGTTGCCCATGTCTGGTTGCATGTCTGGTTGCATGTCTGTGCTTGCATCCAACACCGCACGAAGATGGGAAGCGCAACTGCTGCTGGGTCTTGATGCGGTGCTTAGGTCATGCAATAACACCATTCAATTGAGTCATCAGCTGTGCCGAAATGACAGCTCCAGTTCGTGTCCCGCACGTTGTTCACTTGTTGCCCATGTCTGGTTGCATGTCTGGTTGCATGTCTGTGCTTGCATCCAACACCGCACGAAGATGGGAAGCGCAACTGCTGCTGGGTCTTGATGCGGTGCTTAGGTCATGCAATAACACCATTCAATTGAGTCATCAGCTGTGCCGAAATGACAGCTCCAGTTCGTGTCCCGCACGTTGTTCACTCGTTGCCCATGTCTGGTTGCATGTCTGTGCTTGCATCCAACACCGCACGAAGATGGGAAGCGCAACTGCTGCTGGGTCTTGATGCGGTGCTTAGGTCATGCAATAACACCATTCAATTGAGTCGGAAGCATCAGCCGTGCCAAAATGATAGCTTCAGTTCGTTTACTACACGTTGTTCACTCGTTGCCCATGTCTGGTTGCATGTCTGGTTGCATGTCTGTGCTTGCATCCAACACCGCACGAAGATGGGAAGCGCAACTGCTGCTGGCTCTTGATGCGGTGCTTAGGTCATGCAATAACACCTCTTAATCAGTCGTAATCATCAGCTGCGCCGTAATGACAGCTCCAGTTCGTGTCCCGCACGTTGTTCACTCGTTGCCCATGTCTGGTTGCATGTCTGGTTGCATGTCTGTGCTTGCATCCAACACCGCACGAAGATGGGAAGCGCAACTGCTGCTGGGTCTTGATGCGATGCATAGGTCATGCAATAACACCGTTTGATCAGTCGTAATCATCAGCTGCGTCGTAATGACAGCTCCAGTTCGTGTCCCGCACGTTGTTCACTTGTTGCCCGTGTCTGGTTGCATATCTGGTTGCATGTCTGTGCTTGCATCCAACACCGCACGAAGATGGGAAGCGCAACTGCTGCTGGGTCTTGATGCGGTGCTTAGGTCATGCAATAACACCATTCAATTGAGTCGTAGGCATCAGCTGTGCCGTAATGACAGCTCCAATTCGTGTCCTACACGTTGTTCACTTGTTGCCCATGTCTGGTTGCATGTCTGGTTGCATGTCTGTGCTTGCATCCAACACCGCACGAAGATGGGAAGCGCAACTGCTGCTGGGTCTTGATGCGGTGCTTAGGTCATGCAATAACACCATTCAATTGAGTCATCAGCTGTGCCGAAATGACAGCTCCAGTTCGTGTCCCGCACGTTGTTCACTCGTTGCCCATGTCTGGTTGCATGTCTGGTTGCATGTCTGTCCTTGCACCGCACGAAGATGGGAAGCGCAACTGCTGCTGGGTCTTGATGCGGTGCTTAGGTCATGCAATAACACCTCTTAATCAGTCGTAATCATCAGCTGCGCCGTAATGACAGCTCCAATTCGTGTCCTACACGTTGTTCACTTGTTGCCCATGTCTGGTTGCATGTCTGGTTGCATGTCTGTGCTTGCATCCAACACCGCACGAAGATGGGAAGCGCAACTGCTGCTGGGTCTTGATGCGGTGCTTAGGTCATGCAATAACACCATTCAATTGAGTCGTAGGCATCAGCTGTGCCGTAATGACAGCTCCAATTCGTGTCCTACACGTTGTTCACTTGTTGCCCATGTCTGGTTGCATGTCTGGTTGCATGTCTGTGCTTGCATCCAACACCGCACGAAGATGGGAAGCGCAACTGTTGCTGGGTCTTGATGCGGTGCTTAGGTCATGCAATAACACCATTCAATTGAGTCATCAGCTGTGCCGAAATGACAGCTCCAGTTCGTGTCCCGCACGTTGTTCACTTGTTGCCCATGTCTGGTTGCATGTCTGGTTGCATGTCTGTCCTTGCACCGCAAGAAGATGGGAAGCGCAACTGCTGCTGGGTCTTGATGCGGTGCTTAGGTCATGCAATAACACCTCTTAATCAGTCGTAATCATCAGCTGCGCCGTAATGACAGCTCCAATTCGTGTCCTACACGTTGTTCACTTGTTGCCCATGTCTGGTTGCATGTCTGGTTGCATGTCTGTGCTTGCATCCAACACCGCACGAAGATGGGAAGCGCAACTGCTGCTGGGTCTTGATGCGGTGCTTAGGTCATGCAATAACACCATTCAATTGAGTCATCAGCTGTGCCGAAATGACAGCTCCAGTTCGTGTCCCGCACGTTGTTCACTCGTTGCCCATGTCTGGTTGCATGTCTGGTTGCGTCTGTGCTTGCATCCAACACCGCACGAAGATGGGAAGCGCAACTGCTGCTGGGTCTTGATGCGGTGCTTAGGTCATGCAATAACACCATTCAATTGAGTCATCAGCTGTGCCGAAATGACAGCTCCAGTTCGTGTACGACACGTTGTTCACTCGTTGCCCATGTCTGGTTGCATGTCTGGTTGCATGTCTGTGCTTGCATCCAACACCGCACGAAGATGGGAAGCGCAACTGCTGCTGGGTCTTGATGCGGTGCTTAGGTCATGCAATAACACGATTCAATTGAGTCATCAGCTGTGCCGAAATGACAGCTCCAGTTCGTGTCCCGCACGTTGTTCACTTGTTGCCCATGTCTGGTTGCATGTCTGGTTGCATGTCTGTGCTTGCATCCAACACCGCACGAAGATGGGAAGCGCAACTGCTGCTGGGTCTTGATGCGGTGCTTAGGTCATGCAATAACACCATTCAATTGAGTCATCAGCTGTGCCGAAATGACAGCTCCAGTTCGTGTCCCGCACGTTGTTCACTCGTTGCCCATGTCTGGTTGCATGTCTGTGTGCTTGCATCCAACACCGCACGAAGATGGGAAGCGCAACTGCTGCTGGGTCTTGATGCGGTGCTTAGGTCATGCAATAACACCATTCAATTGAGTCATCAGCTGTGCCGAAATGACAGCTCCAGTTCGTGTACTACACGTTGTTCACTCGTTGCCCATGTCTGGTTGCATGTCTGGTTGCATGTCTGTGCTTGCATCCAACACCGCACGAAGATGGGAAGCGCAACTGTTGCTGGGTCTTGATGCGGTGCTTAGGTCATGCAATAACACCATTCAATTGAGTCATCAGCTGTGCCGAAATGACAGCTCCAGTTCGTGTCCCGCACGTTGTTCACTCGTTGCCCATGTCTGGTTGCATGTCTGGTTGCATGTCTGTGCTTGCATCCAACACCGCACGAAGATGGGAAGCGCAACTGCTGCTGGGTCTTGATGCGGTGCTTAGGTCATGCAATAACACCATTCAATTGAGTCATCAGCTGTGCCGAAATGACAGCTCCAGTTCGTGTACTACACGTTGTTCACTCGTTGCCCATGTCTGGTTGCATGTCTGGTTGCATGTCTGTGCTTGCATCCAACACCGCACGAAGATGGGAAGCGCAACTGCTGCTGGGTCTTGATGCGGTGCTTAGGTCATGCAATAACACCATTCAATTGAGTCGTAATCATCAGCTGCGCCGTAATGACAGCTCCAGTTCGTGTCCCGCACGTTGTTCACTCGTTGCCCATGTCTGGTTGCATGTCTGGTTGCATGTCTGTGCTTGCATCCAACACCGCACGAAGATGGGAAGCGCAACTGCTGCTGGGTCTTGATGCGGTGCTTAGGTCATGCAATAACACCTCTTAATCAGTCGTAATCATCAGCTGCGCCGTAATGACAGCTCCAGTTCGTGTCCCGCACGTTGTTCACTCGTTGCCCATGTCTGGTTGCATGTCTGTGCTTGCATCCAACACCGCACGAAGATGGGAAGCGCAACTGCTGCTGGGTCTTGATGCGGTGCTTAGGTCATGCAATAACACCATTCAATTGAGTCATCAGCTGTGCCGAAATGACAGCTCCAGTTCGTGTACTACACGTTGTTCACTCGTTGCCCATGTCTGGTTGCATGTCTGGTTGCATGTCTGTGCTTGCATCCAACACCGCACGAAGATGGGAAGCGCAACTGCTGCTGGGTCTTGATGCGGTGCTTAGGTCATGCAATAACACCATTCAATTGAGTCATCAGCTGTGCCGAAATGACAGCTCCAGTTCGTGTACTACACGTTGTTCACTCGTTGCCCATGTCTGGTTGCATGTCTGGTTGCATGTCTGTGCTTGCATCCAACACCGCACGAAGATGGGAAGCGCAACTGCTGCTGGGTCTTGATGCGGTGCTTAGGTCATGCAATAACACCTCTTAATCAGTCGTAATCATCAGCTGCGCCGTAATGACAGCTCCAATTCGTGTCCTACACGTTGTTCACTTGTTGCCCATGTCTGGTTGCATGTCTGGTTGCATGTCTGTGCTTGCATCCAACACCGCACGAAGATGGGAAGCGCAACTGCTGCTGGGTCTTGATGCGGTGCTTAGGTCATGCAATAACACCATTCAATTGAGTCATCAGCTGTGCCGAAATGACAGCTCCAGTTCGTGTCCCGCACGTTGTTCACTCGTTGCCCATGTCTGGTTGCATGTCTGGTTGCATGTCTGTGCTTGCATCCAACACCGCACGAAGATGGGAAGCGCAACTGCTGCTGGGTCTTGATGCGGTGCTTAGGTCATGCAATAACACCTCTTAATCAGTCGTAATCATCAGCTGCGCCGAAATGACAGCTCCAGTTCGTGTCCCGCACGTTGTTCACTCGTTGCCCATGTCTGGTTGCATGTCTGGTTGCATGTCTGTGCTTGCATCCAACACCGCACGAAGATGGGAAGCGCAACTGCTGCTGGGTCTTGATGCGGTGCTTAGGTCATGCAATAACACCTCTTAATCAGTCGTAATCATCAGCTGCGCCGTAATGACAGCTCCAATTCGTGTCCTACACGTTGTTCACTTGTTGCCCATGTCTGGTTGCATGTCTGGTTGCATGTCTGTGCTTGCATCCAACACCGCACGAAGATGGGAAGCGCAACTGCTGCTGGGTCTTGATGCGGTGCTTAGGTCATGCAATAACACCATTCAATTGAGTCATCAGCTGTGCCGAAATGACAGCTCCAGTTCGTGTCCCGCACGTTGTTCACTTGTTGCCCATGTCTGGTTGCATGTCTGGTTGCATGTCTGTGCTTGCATCCAACACCGCACGAAGATGGGAAGCGCAACTGTTGCTGGGTCTTGATGCGGTGCTTAGGTCATGCAATAACACCATTCAATTGAGTCATCAGCTGTGCCGAAATGACAGCTCCAGTTCGTGTCCCGCACGTTGTTCACTCGTTGCCCATGTCTGGTTGCATGTCTGGTTGCATGTCTGTGCTTGCATCCAACACCGCACGAAGATGGGAAGCGCAACTGCTGCTGGGTCTTGATGCGGTGCTTAGGTCATGCAATAACACCATTCAATTGAGTCGTAGGCATCAGCTGTGCCGTAATGACAGCTCCAGTTCGTGTCCCGCACGTTGTTCACTCGTTGCCCATGTCTGGTTGCATGTCTGGTTGCATGTCTGTGCTTGCATCCAACACCGCACGAAGATGGGAAGCGCAACTGCTGCTGGGTCTTGATGCGGTGCTTAGGTCATGCAATAACACCTCTTAATCAGTCGTAATCATCAGCTGCGCCGTAATGACAGCTCCAGTTCGTGTCCCGCACGTTGTTCACTCGTTGCCCATGTCTGGTTGCATGTCTGGTTGCATGTCTGTGCTTGCATCCAACACCGCACGAAGATGGGAAGCGCAACTGCTGCTGGGTCTTGATGCGGTGCTTAGGTCATGCAATAACACCATTCAATTGAGTCATCAGCTGTGCCGAAATGACAGCTCCAGTTCGTGTACTACACGTTGTTCACTCGTTGCCCATGTCTGGTTGCATGTCTGTGCTTGCATCCAACACCGCACGAAGATGGGAAGCGCAACTGCTGCTGGGTCTTGATGCGGTGCTTAGGTCATGCAATAACACCATTCAATTGAGTCATCAGCTGTGCCGAAATGACAGCTCCAGTTCGTGTCCCGCACGTTGTTCACTTGTTGCCCATGTCTGGTTGCATGTCTGGTTGCATGTCTGTGCTTGCATCCAACACCGCACGAAGATGGGAAGCGCAACTGCTGCTGGGTCTTGATGCGGTGCTTAGGTCATGCAATAACACCATTCAATTGAGTCATCAGCTGTGCCGAAATGACAGCTCCAGTTCGTGTACTACACGTTGTTCACTCGTTGCCCATGTCTGGTTGCATGTCTGGTTGCATGTCTGTGCTTGCATCCAACACCGCACGAAGATGGGAAGCGCAACTGCTGCTGGGTCTTGATGCGGTGCTTAGGTCATGCAATAACACCATTCAATTGAGTCATCAGCTGTGCCGAAATGACAGCTCCAGTTCGTGTACTACACGTTGTTCACTCGTTGCCCATGTCTGGTTGCATGTCTGGTTGCATGTCTGTGCTTGCATCCAACACCGCACGAAGATGGGAAGCGCAACTGTTGCTGGGTCTTGATGCGGTGCTTAGGTCATGCAATAACACCATTCAGTTCAGTCATCAGCTGTGCCGAAATGACAGCTCCAGTTCGTGTCCCGCACGTTGTTCACTCGTTGCCCATGTCTGGTTGCATGTCTGGTTGCATGTCTGTGCTTGCATCCAACACCGCACGAAGATGGGAAGCGCAACTGCTGCTGGGTCTTGATGCGGTGCTTAGGTCATGCAATAACACCATTCAATTGAGTCATCAGCTGTGCCGAAATGACAGCTCCAGTTCGTGTCCCGCACGTTGTTCACTCGTTGCCCATGTCTGGTTGCATGTCTGGTTGCATGTCTGTGCTTGCATCCAACACCGCACGAAGATGGGAAGCGCAACTGCTGCTGGCTCTTGATGCGGTGCTTAGGTCATGCAATAACACCATTCAATTGAGTCATCAGCTGTGCCGAAATGACAGCTCCAGTTCGTGTCCCGCACGTTGTTCACTTGTTGCCCATGTCTGGTTGCATGTCTGGTTGCATGTCTGTGCTTGCATCCAACACCGCACGAAGATGGGAAGCGCAACTGCTGCTGGGTCTTGATGCGGTGCTTAGGTCATGCAATAACACCTCTTGATCAGTCGTAATCATCAGCTGCGCCGTAATGACAGCTCCAATTCGTGTCCTACACGTTGTTCACTTGTTGCCCATGTCTGGTTGCATGTCTGGTTGCATGTCTGTGCTTGCATCCAACACCGCACGAAGATGGGAAGCGCAACTGCTGCTGGGTCTTGATGCGGTGCTTAGGTCATGCAATAACACCATTCAATTGATTCATCAGCTGTGCCGAAATGACAGCTCCAGTTCGTGTCCCGCACGTTGTTCACTCGTTGCCCATGTCTGGTTGCATGTCTGGTTGCATGTCTGTGCTTGCATCCAACACCGCACGAAGATGGGAAGCGCAACTGCTGCTGGGTCTTGATGCGGTGCTTAGGTCATGCAATAACACCATTCAATTGAGTCATCAGCTGTGCCGAAATGACAGCTCCAGTTCGTGTCCTACACGTTGTTCACTTGTTGCCCATGTCTGGTTGCATGTCTGGTTGCATGTCTGTGCTTGCATCCAACACCGCACGAAGATGGGAAGCGCAACTGTTGCTGGGTCTTGATGCGGTGCTTAGGTCATGCAATAACACCATTCAATTGAGTCATCAGCTGTGCCGAAATGACAGCTCCAGTTCGTGTCCCGCACGTTGTTCACTCGTTGCCCATGTCTGGTTGCATGTCTGGTTGCATGTCTGTGCTTGCATCCAACACCGCACGAAGATGGGAAGCGCAACTGCTGCTGGGTCTTGATGCGGTGCTTAGGTCATGCAATAACACCTCTTAATCAGTCGTAATCATCAGCTGCGCCGTAATGACAGCTCCAATTCGTGTCCTACACGTTGTTCACTTGTTGCCCATGTCTGGTTGCATGTCTGGTTGCATGTCTGTGCTTGCATCCAACACCGCACGAAGATGGGAAGCGCAACTGCTGCTGGGTCTTGATGCGGTGCTTAGGTCATGCAATAACACCATTCAATTGAGTCATCAGCTGTGCCGAAATGACAGCTCCAGTTCGTGTCCCGCACGTTGTTCACTCGTTGCCCATGTCTAGTTGCATGTCTGGTTGCATGTCTGTGCTTGCATCCAACACCGCACGAAGATGGGAAGCGCAACTGTTGCTGGCTCTTGATGCGGTGCTTAGGTCATGCAATAACACGATTCAATTGAGTCATCAGCTGTGCCGAAATGACAGCTCCAGTTCGTGTCCCGCACGTTGTTCACTTGTTGTTCATGTCTGGTTGCATGTCTGGTTGCATGTCTGTGCTTGCATCCAACACCGCACGAAGATGGGAAGCGCAACTGCTGCTGGGTCTTGATGCGGTGCGTAGGTCATGCAATAACACCATTCAATTGAGTCATCAGCTGTGCCGTAATGACAGCTCCAGTTCGTGTCCCGCACGTTGTTCACTTGTTGTTCATGTCTGGTTGCATGTCTGGTTGCATGTCTGTGCTTGCATCCAACACCGCACGAAGATGGGAAGCGCAACTGTTGCTGGCTCTTGATGCGGTGCTTAGGTCATGCAATAACACCATTCAATTGAATCATCAGCTGTGCCGAAATGACAGCTCCAGTTCGTGTCCCGCACGTTGTTCACTCGTTGCCCATGTCTGGTTGCATGTCTGGTTGCATGTCTGTGCTTGCATCCAACACCGCACGAAGATGGGAAGCGCAACTGCTGCTGGGTCTTGATGCGGTGCTTAGGTCATGCAATAACACCATTCAATTGAGTCATCAGCTGTGCCGAAACAACAGCTCCAGTTCGTGTCCCGCACGTTGTTCACTCGTTGCCCATGTCTGGTTGCATGTCTGGTTGCATGTCTGTGCTTGCATCCAACACCGCACGAAGATGGGAAGCGCAACTGCTGCTGGGTCTTGATGCGGTGCTTAGGTCATGCAATAACACCATTCAATTGAGTCATCAGCTGTGCCGAAATGACAGCTCCAGTTCGTGTCCCGCACGTTGTTCACTCGTTGCCCATGTCTGGTTGCATGTCTGGTTGCATGTCTGTGCTTGCATCCAACACCGCACGAAGATGGGAAGCGCAACTGCTGCTGGGTCTTGATGCGGTGCTTAGGTCATGCAATAACACCATTCAATTGAGTCATCAGCTGTGCCGAAATGACAGCTCCAGTTCGTGTCCCGCACGTTGTTCACTCGTTGCCCATGTCTAGTTGCATGTCTGGTTGCATGTCTGTGCTTGCATCCAACACCGCACGAAGATGGGAAGCGCAACTGCTGCTGGCTCTTGATGCGGTGCTTAGGTCATGCAATAACACCATTCAATTGAGTCATCAGCTGTGCCGAAATGACAGCTCCAGTTCGTGTCCCGCACGTTGTTCACTCGTTGCCCATGTCTGGTTGCATGTCTGGTTGCATATCTGTGCTTGCATCCAACACCGCACGAAGATGGGAAGCGCAACTGCTGCTGGGTCTTGATGCGGTGCTTAGGTCATGCAATAACACCATTCAATTGATTCATCAGCTGTGCCGAAATGACAGCTCCAGTTCGTGTCCCGCACGTTGTTCACTCTTTGCCCATGTCTGGTTGCATGTCTGTGCTTGCATCCAACACCGCACGAAGATGGGAAGCGCAACTGCTGCTGGGTCTTGATGCGGTGCTTAGGTCATGCAATAACACCATTCAATTGAGTCATAAGCTGTGCCGAAATGACAGCTCCAGTTCGTGTACTACACGTTGTTCACTCGTTGCCCATGTCTGGTTGCATGTCTGTGCTTGCATGTCTGTGCTTGCATCCAACACCGCACGAAGATGGGAAGCGCAACTGTTGCTGGCTCTTGATGCGGTGCTTAGGTCATGCAATAACACCATTCAATTGATTCATCAGCTGTGCCGAAATGACAGCTCCAGTTCGTGTACTACACGTTGTTCACTCGTTACTCATGTCTGGTTGCATGTCTGTGCTTGCATCCAACACCGCACGAAGATGGGAAGCGCAACTGTTGCTGGCTCTTGATGCGGTGCTTAGGTCATGCAATAACACCATTCAATTGATTCATCAGCTGTGCCGAAATGACAGCTCCAGTTCGTGTCCCGCACGTTGTTCACTCTTTGCCCATGTCTGGTTGCATGTCTGTGCTTGCATCCAACACCGCACGAAGATGGGAAGCGCAACTGCTGCTGGCTCTTGATGCGGTGCTTAGGTCATGCAATAACACCATTCAATTGATTCATCAGCTGTGCCGAAATGACAGCTCCAGTTCGTGTACTACACGTTGTTCACTCGTTACTCATGTCTGGTTGCATGTCTGTGCTTGCATCCAACACCGCACGAAGATGGAAAGCGCAACTGTTGCTGGCTCTTGATGCGGTGCTTAGGTCATGCAATAACACCATTCAATTGATTCATCAGCTGTGCCGAAATGACAGCTCCAGTTCGTGTCCCGCACGTTGTTCACTCGTTGCCCATGTCTGGTTGCATGTATGTGCTTGCATCCAACACCGCACGAAGATGGGAAGCGCAACTGTTGCTGGCTCTGGATGCGGTGCTTAGATCATTTGATAACACCATTCAATTGAGTCGGAATCATCAGCTGTGCCGAAGTGACAGCTCCAGTTCGTGTATTGCACGTTGTTCACTCGTTGCCCATGTCTGGTTGCATGTCTGGTTGCATGTCTGTGCTTGCATCCAACACCGAACGAAGATGGGAAGCGCAACTGTTGCTGGGTCTTGATGCGGTACTTAGGTCATGCAATAACACCATTCAATTGAGTCATCAGCTGTGCCGAAATGACAGCTCCAGTTCGTGTACCGCACGTTGTTCACTCGTTGCCCATGTCTGGTTGCATGTCTGTGCTTGCATCCAACACCGCACGAAGATGGGAAGCGCAACTGCTGCTGGGTCTTGATGCGGTGCTTAGGTCATGCAATAACACCATTCAATTGAGTCGGAAGCATCAGCCGTGCCGAAATGACAGCTTCAGTTCGTGTCCTACACGTTGTTCACTCGTTGCCCATGTCTGGTTGCATGTCTGGTTGCATGTCTGTGCTTGCATCCAACACCGCACGAAGATGGGAAGCGCAACTGCTGCTGGGTCTTGATGCGGTGCTTAGGTCATGCAATAACACCTCTTAATCAGTCGTAATCATCAGCTGCGCCGTAATGACAGCTCCAATTCGTGTCCTACACGTTGTTCACTTGTTGCCCATGTCTGGTTGCATGTCTGGTTGCATGTCTGTGCTTGCATCCAACACCGCACGAAGATGGAAAGCGCAACTGTTGCTGGCTCTTGATGCGGTGCTTAGGTCATGCAATAACACCATTCAATTGAGTCAAAATCATCAGCTGTGCCGAAATGACAGCTCCAGTTCGTGTATTGCACGTTGTTCACTCGTTGCCCATGTCAGGTTGCATATCTGGTTGCATGTCTGTGCTTGCATCCAACACCGCACGAAGATGGGAAGCACAACTGTTGCTGGGTCTTGATGCGGTGCTTAGGTCATGCAATAACACCATTCAATTGAGTCGGAATCATCAGCTGTGCCGAAATGACAGCTCCAGTTCGTGTATTGCACGTTGTTCACTCGTTGCCCATGTCTGGTTGCATATCTAGTTGCATGTCTGTGCTTGCATCCAACACCGCACGAAGATGGGAAGCGCAACTGCTGCTGGCTCTTGATGCGGTGCTTAGGTTATGCAATAACACCATTCAATTGAGTCATCAGCTGTGCCGAAACAACAGCTACAATTCGTGTACTACACGTTGTTCACTCGTTGCCCATGTCTGGTTGCATGTCTGGTTGCATGTCTGTGCTTGCATCCAACACCGCACGAAGATGGGAAGCGCAACTGCTACTGGCTCTTGATGCGGTGCTTAGGTCATGCAATAACACCATTCAATTGATTCACCAGCTGTGCCGAAATGACAGCTCCAGTTCGTGTCCCGCACGTTGTTCACTCGTTGCCCATGTCTGGTTGCATGTCTGGTTGCATGTCTGTGCTTGCATCCAACACCGCACGAAGATGGGAAGCGCAACTGTTGCTGGCTCTTGATGCGGTGCCTAGGTCATGCAATAACACCACTTCAATTGAGTCGGAACCATCAGCTGTGCCGAAATGACAGCTCCAGTTCGTGTACTACACGTTGTTCACTCGTTGCCCATGTCTGGTTGCATGTCTGGTTGCATGTCTGTGCTTGCATCCAACACCGCACGAAGATGGGAAGCGCAACTGCTGCTGGCTCTTGATGCGGTGCTTAGGTCATGCAATAACACCACTTGAATTGAGTCGGAACCATCAGCTGTGCCGAAATGACAGCTCCAGTTCGTGTCCCGCACGTTGTTCACTCGTTGCCCATGTCTGGTTGCATGTCTGGTTGCATGTCTGTGCTTGCATCCAACACCGCACGAAGATGGGAAGCGCAACTGCTGCTGGGTCTTGATGCGGTGCTTAGGTCATGCAATAACACCATTCAATTGAGTCATCAGCTGTGCCGAAATGACAGCTCCAGTTCGTGTCCCGCACGTTGTTCACTCGTTGCCCATGTCTGGTTGCATGTCTGTGTGCTTGCATCCAACACCGCACGAAGATGGGAAGCGCAACTGCTGCTGGGTCTTGATGCGGTGCCTAGGTCATGCAATAACACCATTCAATTGAGTCGGAACCATCAGCTGTGCCGAAATGACAGCTCCAGTTCGTGTCCCGCACGTTGTTCACTCGTTGCCCATGTCTGGTTGCATGTCTGGTTGCATGTCTGTGCTTGCATCCAACACCGCACGAAGATGGGAAGCGCAACTGCTGCTGGGTCTTGATGCGGTGCTTAGGTCATGCAATAACACCATTCAATTGAGTCATCAGCTGTGCCGAAATGACAGCTCCAGTTCGTGTCCCGCACGTTGTTCACTCGTTGCCCATGTCTGGTTGCATGTCTGGTTGTGTTGTGCTTGCATCCAACACCGCACGAAGATGGGAAGCGCAACTGCTGCTGGGTCTTGATGCGGTGCTTAGGTCATGCAATAACACCATTCAATTGAGTCATCAGCTGTGCCGAAATGACAGCTCCAGTTCGTGTCCCGCACGTTGTTCACTCGTTGCCCATGTCTGGTTGCATGTCTGTGCTTGCATCCAACACCGCACGAAGATGGGAAGCGCAACTGCTGCTGGGTCTTGATGCGGTGCTTAGGTCATGCAATAACACCATTCAATTGAGTCATCAGCTGTGCCGAAATGACAGCTCCAGTTCGTGTCCCGCACGTTGTTCACTCGTTGCCCATGTCTGGTTGCATGTCTGGTGCTTGCATCCAACACCGCACGAAGATGGGAAGCGCAACTGCTGCTGGGTCTTGATGCGGTGCTTAGGTCATGCAATAACACCATTCAATTGAGTCATCAGCTGTGCCGAAATGACAGCTCCAGTTCGTGTCCCGCACGTTGTTCACTCGTTGCCCATGTCTGGTTGCATGTCTGTGCTTGCATCCAACACCGCACGAAGATGGGAAGCGCAACTGCTGCTGGGTCTTGATGCGGTGCTTAGGTCATGCAATAACACCATTCAATTGAGTCATCAGCTGTGCCGAAATGACAGCTCCAGTTCGTGTCCCGCACGTTGTTCACTCGTTGCCCATGTCTGGTTGCATGTCTGTGCTTGCATTTCTCCAACACCGCACGAAGATGGGAAGCGCAACTGCTGCTGGGTCTTGATGCGGTGCTTAGGTCATGCAATAACACCATTCAATTGAGTCATCAGCTGTGCCGAAATGACAGCTCCAGTTCGTGTCCCGCACGTTGTTCACTCGTTGCCCATGTCTGGTTGCATGTCTGGTTGCATGTCTGTGCTTGCATCCAACACCGCACGAAGATGGGAAGCGCAACTGCTGCTGGGTCTTGATGCGGTGCTTAGGTCATGCAATAACACCATTCAATTGAGTCATCAGCTGTGCCGAAATGACAGCTCCAGTTCGTGTCCCGCACGTTGTTCACTCGTTGCCCATGTCTGGTTGCATGTCTGGTTGCATGTCTGTGCTTGCATCCAACACCGCACGAAGATGGGAAGCGCAACTGCTGCTGGGTCTTGATGCGGTGCTTAGGTCATGCAATAACACCATTCAATTGAGTCATCAGCTGTGCCGAAATGACAGCTCCAGTTCGTGTCCCGCACGTTGTTCACTCGTTGCCCATGTCTGGTTGCATGTCTGGTTGCATGTCTGTGCTTGCATCCAACACCGCACGAAGATGGGAAGCGCAACTGCTGCTGGGTCTTGATGCGGTGCTTAGGTCATGCCATAAAACCATTCAATTGAGTCATCAGCTGTGCCGAAATGACAGCTCCAGTTCGTGTCCTGCACGTTGTTCACTCGTTGCCCATGTCTGGTTGCATGTCTGTGCTTGCATCCAACACCGCACGAAGATGGGAAGCGCAACTGCTGCTGGGTCTTGATGCGGTGCTTAGGTCATGCAATAACACCATTCAATTGAGTCATCAGCTGTGTCCGAAATGACAGCTCCAGTTCGTGTCCCGCACGTTGTTCACTCGTTGCCCATGTCTGGTTGCATGTCTGTGCTTGCATCCAACACCGCACGAAGATGGGAAGCGCAACTGCTGCTGGGTCTTGATGCGGTGCTTAGGTCATGCAATAACACCATTCAATTGAGTCATCAGCTGTGCCGAAATGACAGCTCCAGTTCGTGTCCCGCACGTTGTTCACTCGTTGCCCATGTCTGGTTGCATGTCTGGTTGCATGTCTGTGCTTGCATCCAACACCGCACGAAGATGGGAAGCGCAACTGCTGCTGGGTCTTGATGCGGTGCTTAGGTCATGCAATAACACCATTCAATTGAGTCGGAATCATCAGCTGTGCCGAAATGACAGCTCCAGTTCGTGTCCCACACGTTGTTCACTCGTTGCCCATGTCTGGTTGCATGTCTGTGCTTGCATCCAACACCGCACGAAGATGGGAAGCGCAACTGCTGCTGGGTCTTGATGCGGTGCTTAGGTCATGCAATAACACCATTCAATTGAGTCATCAGCTGTGCCGAAATGACAGCTCCAGTTCGTGTCCTACACGTTGTTCACTCGTTGCCCATGTCTGGTTGCATGTCTGGTTGCATGTCTGTGCTTGCATCCAACACCGCACGAAGATGGGAAGCGCAACTGCTGCTGGGTCTTGATGCGGTGCTTAGGTCATGCAATAACACCATTCAATTGAGTCATCAGCTGTGCCGAAATGACAGCTCCAGTTCGTGTCCCGCACGTTGTTCACTCGTTGCCCATGTCTGGTTGCATGTCTGGTTGCATGTCTGTGCTTGCATCCAACACCGCACGAAGATGGGAAGCGCAACTGCTGCTGGGTCTTGATGCGGTGCTTAGGTCATGCAATAACACCATTCAATTGAGTCATCAGCTGTGCCGAAATGACAGCTCCAGTTCGTGTCCCGCACGTTGTTCACTCGTTGCCCATGTCTGGTTGCATGTCTGGTTGCATGTCTGTGCTTGCATCCAACACCGCACGAAGATGGGAAGCGCAACTGCTGCTGGGTCTTGATGCGGTGCTTAGGTCATGCAATAACACCATTCAATTGAGTCATCAGCTGTGCCGAAATGACAGCTCCAGTTCGTGTCCTACACGTTGTTCACTCGTTGCCCATGTCTGGTTGCATGTCTGTGCTTGCATCCAACACCGCACGAAGATGGGAAGCGCAACTGCTGCTGGGTCTTGATGCGGTGCTTAGGTCATGCAATAACACCATTCAATTGAGTCATCAGCTGTGCCGAAATGACAGCTCCAGTTCGTGTCCCCACCGTTGTTCACTCGTTGCCCATGTCTGGTTGCATGTCTGTGCTTGCATCCAACACCGCACGAAGATGGGAAGCGCAACTGCTGCTGGGTCTTGATGCGGTGCTTAGGTCATGCAATAACACCATTCAATTGAGTCACATCAGCTGTGCCGAAATGACAGCTCCAGTTCGTGTCCCGCACGTTGTTCACTCGTTGCCCATGTCTGGTTGCATGTCTGGTTGCATGTCTGTGCTTGCATCCAACACCGCACGAAGATGGGAAGCGCAACTGCTGCTGGGTCTTGATGCGGTGCTTAGGTCATGCAATAACACCATTCAATTGAGTCATCAGCTGTGCCGAAATGACAGCTCCAGTTCGTGTCCCGCACGTTGTTCACTCGTTGCCCATGTCTGGTTGCATGTCTGTGCTTGCATCCAACACCGCACGAAGATGGGAAGCGCAACTGCTGCTGGGTCTTGATGCGGTGCTTAGGTCATGCAATAACACCATTCAATTGAGTCATCAGCTGTGCCGAAATGACAGCTCCAGTTCGTGTCCCGCACGTTGTTCACTCGTTGCCCATGTCTGGTTGCATGTCTGTGCTTGCATCCAACACCGCACGAAGATGGGAAGCGCAACTGCTGCTGGGTCTTGATGCGGTGCTTAGGTCATGCAATAACACCATTCAATTGAGTCATCAGCTGTGCCGAAATGACAGCTCCAGTTCGTGTCCCGCACGTTGTTCACTCGTTGCCCATGTCTGGTTGCATGTCTGTGCTTGCATCCAACACCGCACGAAGATGGGAAGCGCAACTGCTGCTGGGTCTTGATGCGGTGCTGAGGTCATGCAATAACACCATTCAATTGAGTCATCAGCTGTGCCGAAATGACAGCTCCAGTTCGTGTCCCGCACGTTGTTCACTCGTTGCCCATGTCTGGTTGCATGTCTGGTGTTTTGCTTGCATCCAACACCGCACGAAGATGGGAAGCGCAACTGCTGCTGGGTCTTGATGCGGTGCTTAGGTCATGCAATAACACCATTCAATTGAGTCATCAGCTGTGCCGAAATGACAGCTCCAGTTCGTGTCCCGCACGTTGTTCACTCGTTGCCCATGTCTGGTTGCATGTCTGTGCTTGCATTTCTTCATCCAACACCGCACGAAGATGGGAAGCGCAACTGCTGCTGGGTCTTGATGCGGTGCTTAGGTCATGCAATAACACCATTCAATTGAGTCATCAGCTGTGCCGAAATGACAGCTCCAGTTCGTGTCCCGCACGTTGTTCACTCGTTGCCCATGTCTGGTTGCATGTCTGGTTGCATGTCTGTGCTTGCATCCAACACCGCACGAAGATGGGAAGCGCAACTGCTGCTGGGTCTTGATGCGGTGCTTAGGTCATGCAATAACACCATTCAATTGAGTCATCAGCTGTGCCGAAATGACAGCTCCAGTTCGTGTCCCGCACGTTGTTCACTCGTTGCCCATGTCTGGTTGCATGTCTGGTTGCATGTCTGTGCTTGCATCCAACACCGCACGAAGATGGGAAGCGCAACTGCTGCTGGGTCTTGATGCGGTGCTTAGGTCATGCAATAACACCATTCAATTGAGTCATCAGCTGTGCCGAAATGACAGCTCCAGTTCGTGTCCCACACGTTGTTCACTCGTTGCCCATGTCTGGTTGCATGTCTGGTTGCATGTCTGTGCTTGCATCCAACACCGCACGAAGATGGGAAGCGCAACTGCTGCTGGGTCTTGATGCGGTGCTTAGGTCATGCAATAACACCATTCAATTGAGTCATCAGCTGTGCCGAAATGACAGCTCCAGTTCGTGTCCCGCACGTTGTTCACTCGTTGCCCATGTCTGGTTGCATGTCTGTGCTTGCATCCAACACCGCACGAAGATGGGAAGCGCAACTGCTGCTGGGTCTTGATGCGGTGCTTAGGTCATGCAATAACACCATTCAATTGAGTCATCAGCTGTGCCGAAATGACAGCTCCAGTTCGTGTCCCGCACGTTGTTCACTCGTTGCCCATGTCTGGTTGCATGTCTGGTTGCATGTCTGTGCTTGCATCCAACACCGCACGAAGATGGGAAGCGCAACTGCTGCTGGGTCTTGATGCGGTGCTTAGGTCATGCAATAACACCATTCAATTGAGTCATCAGCTGTGCCGAAATGACAGCTCCAGTTCGTGTCCCGCACGTTGTTCACTCGTTGCCCATGTCTGGTTGCATGTCTGGTTGCATGTCTGTGCTTGCATCCAACACCGCACGAAGATGGGAAGCGCAACTGCTGCTGGGTCTTGATGCGGTGCTTAGGTCATGCAATAACACCATTCAATTGAGTCATCAGCTGTGCCGAAATGACAGCTCCAGTTCGTGTCCCGCACGTTGTTCACTCGTTGCCCATGTCTGGTTGCATGTCTGGTTGCATGTCTGTGCTTGCATCCAACACCGCACGAAGATGGGAAGCGCAACTGCTGCTGGGTCTTGATGCGGTGCTTAGGTCATGCAATAACACCATTCAATTGAGTCATCAGCTGTGCCGAAATGACAGCTCCAGTTCGTGTCCCGCACGTTGTTCACTCGTTGCCCATGTCTGGTTGCATGTCTGTGCTTGCATCCAACACCGCACGAAGATGGGAAGCGCAACTGCTGCTGGGTCTTGATGCGGTGCTTAGGTCATGCAATAACACCATTCAATTGAGTCATCAGCTGTGCCGAAATGACAGCTCCAGTTCGTGTCCCGCACGTTGTTCACTCGTTGCCCATGTCTGGTTGCATGTCTGGTTGCATGTCTGTGCTTGCATCCAACACCGCACGAAGATGGGAAGCGCAACTGCTGCTGGGTCTTGATGCGGTGCTTAGGTCATGCAATAACACCATTCAATTGAGTCATCAGCTGTGCCGAAATGACAGCTCCAGTTCGTGTCCCGCACGTTGTTCACTCGTTGCCCATGTCTGGTTGCATGTCTGTGCTTGCATTTTCATCCAACACCGCACGAAGATGGGAAGCGCAACTGCTGCTGGGTCTTGATGCGGTGCTTAGGTCATGCAATAACACCATTCAATTGAGTCATCAGCTGTGCCGAAATGACAGCTCCAGTTCGTGTCCCGCACGTTGTTCACTCGTTGCCCATGTCTGGTTGCATGTCTGGTTGCATGTCTGTGCTTGCATCCAACACCGCACGAAGATGGGAAGCGCAACTGCTGCTGGGTCTTGATGCGGTGCTTAGGTCATGCAATAACACCATTCAATTGAGTCATCAGCTGTGCCGAAATGACAGCTCCAGTTCGTGTCCCGCACGTTGTTCACTCGTTGCCCATGTCTGGTTGCATGTCTGGTTGCATGTCTGTGCTTGCATCCAACACCGCACGAAGATGGGAAGCGCAACTGCTGCTGGGTCTTGATGCGGTGCTTAGGTCATGCAATAACACCATTCAATTGAGTCATCAGCTGTGCCGAAATGACAGCTCCAGTTCGTGTCCCGCACGTTGTTCACTCGTTGCCCATGTCTGGTTGCATGTTTTTCTGTCTGTCTTCATCCAACACCCACAATATGGGAAGCGCAACTGCTCTGGGTCTACACGTTGTTCACTCGTTGCCCATGTCTGGTTGCATATCTGGTTGCATGTCTGTGCTTGCATCCAACACCGCACGAAGATGGGAAGCGCAACTGCTGCTGGGTCTTGATGCGGTGCTTAGGTCATGCAATAACACCATTTAATTGAGTCATCAGCTGTGCCGAAATGGCAGCTCCAGTTCGTGTCCCGAACGTTGTTCACTTGTTGCCCATGTCTGGTTGCATGTCTGGTTGCATGTCTGTGCTTGCATCCAACACCGCACGAAGATGGGAAGCGCAACTGCTGCTGGGTCCTGATGCGGGCCTTAGGTCATGCAATAACACCATTCAATTGAGTCATCAGCTGTGCCGAAATGGCAGCTCCAGTTCGTGTCCCACGTTGTTCACTCGTTGCCCATGTCTGGTTGCATGTCTGGTTGCATGTCTGTGCTTGCATCCAACACCGCACGAAGATGGGAAGCGCAACTGCTGCTGGGTCTTGATGCGGTGCTTAGGTCATGCAATAACACCATTCAATTGAGTCATCAGCTGTGCCGAAATGACAGCTCCAGTTCGTGTCCCGCACGTTGTTCACTCGTTGCCCATGTCTGGTTGCATGTCTGTGCTTGCATCCAACACCGCACGAAGATGGGAAGCGCAACTGCTGCTGGGTCTTGATGCGGTGCTTAGGTCATGCAATAACACCATTCAATTGAGTCATCAGCTGTGCCGAAATGACAGCTCCAGTTCGTGTACTACACGTTGTTCACTCGTTGCCCATGTCTGGTTGCATGTCTGGTTTTGTGCTTGCATCCAACACCGCACGAAGATGGGAAGCGCAACTGCTGCTGGCTCTTGATGCGGTGCTTAGGTCATGCAATAACACGATTCAATTGAGTCATCAGCTGTGCCGAAATGACAGCTCCAGTTCGTGTACTACACGTTGTTCACTCGTTGCCCATGTCTGGTTGCATTTCTGGTTGCATGTCTGTGCTTGCATCCAACACCGCACGAAGATGGGAAGCGCAACTGCTGCTGGGTCTTGATGCGATGCTTAGGTCATGCAATAACACCTCTTGATCAGTCGTAATCATCAGCTGCGTCGTAATGACAGCTCCAATTCGTGTCCTACACGTTGTTCACTCGTTGCCCATGTCTGGTTGCATGTCTGGTTGCATGTCTGTGCTTGCATCCAACACCGCACGAAGATGGGAAGCGCAACTGCTGCTAGGTCTTGATGCGGTGCTTAGGTCATGCAATAACACCATTCAATTGAGTCATCAGCTGTGCCGAAATGACAGCTCCAGTTCGTGTCCCGCACGTTGTTCACTCGTTGCCCATGTCTGGTTGCATGTTTGGTTGCATGTCTGTGCTTGCATCCAACACCGCACGAAGATGGGAAGCGCAACTGCTGCTGGGTCTTGATGCGGCGCTTAGATCATGCAATAACATCATTCAACTGAGTCACCAGATGTGCCGAAATGACAGCTCCAGTTCGTGTCCCGCACGTTGTTCACTCGTTGCCCATGTCTGGTTGCATGTCTGGTTGCATGTCTGTGCTTGCATCCAACACCGCACGAAGATGGGAAGCGCAACTGCTGCTGGGTCTTGATGCGGTGCTTAGGTCATGCAATAACACCATTCAATTGAGTCATCAGCTGTGCCGAAATGACAGCTCCAGTTCGTGTCCCGCACGTTGTTCACTCGTTGCCCATGTCTGGTTGCATGTCTGGTTGCATGTCTGTGCTTGCATCCAACACCGCACGAAGATGGGAAGCGCAACTGCTGCTGGCTCTTGATGCGGTGCTTAGGTCATGCAATAACACCATTCAATTGAGTCATCAGCTGTGCCGAAATGACAGCTCCAGTTCGTGTCCTACACGTTGTTCACTCGTTGCCCATGTCTGGTTGCATGTCTGGTTGCATGTCTGTGCTTGCATCCAACACCGCACGAAGATGGGAAGCGCAACTGCTGCTGGGTCTTGATGCGGTGCTTAGGTCATGCAATAACACCATTCAATTGAGTCATCAGCTGTGCCGAAATGACAGCTCCAGTTCGTGTACCGCACGTTGTTCACTCGTTGCCCATGTCTGGTTGCATGTCTGGTTGCATGTCTGTGCTTGCATCCAACACCGCACGAAGATGGGAAGCGCAACTGCTGCTGGGTCTTGATGCGGTGCTTAGGTCATGCAATAACACCATTCAATTGAGTCATCAGCTGTGCCGAAATGACAGCTCCAGTTCGTGTACTGCACGTTGTTCACTCGTTGCCCATGTCTGGTTGCATGTCTGGTTGCATGTCTGTGCTTGCATCCAACACCGCACGAAGATGGGAAGCGCAACTGCTGCTGGGTCTTGATGCGGTGCTTAGGTCATGCAATAACACCATTCAAATGAGTCGGAATCATCAGCTGTGCCGAAATGACAGCTCCAGTTCGTGTCCCGCACGTTGTTCACTCGTTGCCCATGTCTGGTTGCATGTCTGTGCTTGCATCCAACACCGCACGAAGATGGGAAGCGCAACTGCTGCTGGGTCTTGATGCGGTGCTTAGGTCATGCAATAACACCATTCAATTGAGTCATCAGCTGTGCCGAAATGACAGCTCCAGTTCGTGTCCTACACGTTGTTCACTCGTTGCCCATGTCTGGTTGCATGTCTGGTTGCATGTCTGTGCTTGCATCCAACACCGCACGAAGATGGGAAGCGCAACTGCTGCTGGGTCTTGATGCGGTGCTTAGGTCATGCAATAACACCATTCAATTGAGTCATCAGCTGTGCCGAAATGACAGCTCCAGTTCGTGTCCTGCACGTTGTTCACTCGTTGCCCATGTCTGGTTGCATGTCTGGGTGTTGTGCTTGCATCCAACACCGCACGAAGATGGGAAGCGCAACTGCTGCTGGGTCTTGATGCGGTGCTTAGGTCATGCAATAACACCATTCAATTGAGTCATCAGCTGTGCCGAAATGACAGCTCCAGTTCGTGTCCCGCACGTTGTTCACTCGTTGCCCATGTCTGGTTGCATGTCCGGTTGCATGTCTGTGCTTGCATCCAACACCGCACGAAGATGGGAAGCGCAACTGCTGCTGGGTCTTGATGCGGTGCTTAGGTCATGCAATAACACCATTCAATTGAGTCTATCAGCTGTGCCGAAATGACAGCTCCAGTTCGTGTCCCGCACGTTGTTCACTCGTTGCCCATGTCTGGTTGCATGTCTGGTTGCATGTCTGTGCTTGCATCCAACACCGCACGAAGATGGGAAGCGCAACTGCTGCTGGGTCTTGATGCGGTGCTTAGGTCATGCAATAACACCATTCAATTGAGTCATCAGCTGTGCCGAAATGACAGCTCCAGTTCGTGTCCCGCACGTTGTTCACTCGTTGCCCATGTCTGGTTGCATGTCCGGTTGATTCTGTGCTTGCATCCAACACCGCACGAAGATGGGAAGCGCAACTGCTGCTGGGTCTTGATGCGGTGCTTAGGTCATGCAATAACACCATTCAATTGAGTCATCAGCTGTGCCGAAATGACAGCTCCAGTTCGTGTCCCGCACGTTGTTCACTCGTTGCCCATGTCTGGTTGCATGTCTGTTTGCATGTCTGTGCTTGCATCCAACACCGCACGAAGATGGGAAGCGCAACTGCTGCTGGGTCTTGATGCGGTGCTTAGGTCATGCAATAACACCATTCAATTGAGTCATCAGCTGTGCCGAAATGACAGCTCCAGTTCGTGTCCTACACGTTGTTCACTCGTTGCCCATGTCTGGTTGCATGTCTGTGCTTGCATCCAACACCGCACGAAGATGGGAAGCGCAACTGCTGCTGGGTCTTGATGCGGTGCTTAGGTCATGCAATAACACCATTCAATTGAGTCATCAGCTGTGCCGAAATGACAGCTCCAGTTCGTGTCCCGCACGTTGTTCACTCGTTGCCCATGTCTGGTTGCATGTCTGTGCTTGCATCCAACACCGCACGAAGATGGGAAGCGCAACTGCTGCTGGGTCTTGATGCGGTGCTTAGGTCATGCAATAACACCATTCAATTGAGTCATCAGCTGTGCCGAAATGACAGCTCCAGTTCGTGTCCCGCACGTTGTTCACTCGTTGCCCATGTCTGGTTGCATGTCTGTGCTTGCATCCAACACCGCACGAAGATGGGAAGCGCAACTGCTGCTGGGTCTTGATGCGGTGCTTAGGTCATGCAATAACACCATTCAATTGAGTCATCAGCTGTGCCGAAATGACAGCTCCAGTTCGTGTCCCGCACGTTGTTCACTCGTTGCCCATGTCTGGTTGCATGTCTGTGCTTGCATCCAACACCGCACGAAGATGGGAAGCGCAACTGCTGCTGGGTCTTGATGCGGTGCTTAGGTCATGCAATAACACCATTCAATTGAGTCATCAGCTGTGCCGAAATGACAGCTCCAGTTCGTGTCCCGCACGTTGTTCACTCGTTGCCCATGTCTGGTTGCATGTCTGTTTTTGTGCTTGCATCCAACACCGCACGAAGATGGGAAGCGCAACTGCTGCTGGGTCTTGATGCGGTGCTTAGGTCATGCAATAACACCATTCAATTGAGTCATCAGCTGTGCCGAAATGACAGCTCCAGTTCGTGTCCCGCACGTTGTTCACTCGTTGCCCATGTCTGGTTGCATGTCTGGTTGCATGTCTGTGCTTGCATCCAACA